GAGTGTAACGTGTGACAGGTGGGCATCGCCCTGCACTACTCCTCCCTCTCCACCCTGCTGTGGATCGGAGTCAGTGCCCGGGTCATCTACAAAGAGACGTTGTGGCGAACGCCCCGACAGCCAGAGGGAGAGCCTCCAACTCCGCCTACTCAGCGACCCATGCTCAGGTCAGTGAGAAGAGCAACAACTCAATGTCACCCACTTCCTGTACTGTTTGATTGTTGCTGTCAATACGGTTTATGTTTTAGACAGAGTTTGTATGCATGGCCACCCAGACTGTGCCCCATCAAAGTGGGTCATTGTGCCCAACAACTAAAGTCCCTCTGTGTTTGATGTCCCTTGGAGGGACATAAAAGAGTCTTGCTGTAAAAGCTATAAGTCGTTATGAGTGGGGGAGGGTAGGAAAGTATGAAACCAACGAAACAGAAGCAGAGGGGGTGGTCATAAATCTGCGCAGGGTGATTCAGGGGGTGCACTGTCTTTCAAAATATTCACTTATTTTTCTCCTTCCACCCCTGCCCCTGTGATCAAGAAGCTGCAATCATACTCTGACCCCGCTGACCCCCCCCCGTTACCCCTTTGTTGCCCACTCAGCCATATGGGAACAGGCTGCATTAAATCACAGACTTCTGGAGCCTATGCTGACCCTTGTAACACTCTGCCCCCTATAGGAGTGATGGATCACACAGCTCCGTTTAAATTATAGACAGCCAGAGAAACATTGGAGGAAAATGACACCAACATGTGCAATTTTAAAAACATCGTAGCAGCCAAAGGTCAAACAGCATCCTGTGGCACAAACAAACACTGCTTTTGATTTCTGAAACTGCAGCTAGGAACTTGTATTTTAATGTTTTTTCTCTATTATTCAAGGTTCTATTTGATAGCTGGTGGAGTTCCTCTTATCATCTGCGGGATCACTGCAGCTGTCAATGTCAACAACTACGGTGACAACAGCCCTTAGTGAGTTATATTCTTTTATCCGTGCTCCATTTGGCTCTTGACTTTGTGTTGTTTTGTTTGGTGCTGAAGTGAAAAATTCTGCGTGAAACGTCGAACACACAGACGTGTCCTTGTTTTGCGCTGACCCTCCTGACTCCTCTTTCTGCTCCTTGCAGCTGCTGGCTGCTGTGGCGCCCCAGTCTTGGCTCTTTCTTTGTCCCCGCTGGGCTAGTGCTTTTGGTGACCTGGATCTATTTCCTGTGCACTGTGTTTCGCCTGAGGCACCGCGTGGCCAAAGAATGCGCAGGAACCACCCTGTCCTCTCCTGAGGCGGAGAGCCAGCCTGCCCTGGCAGGAAGCTCCAGCCTCCTCTCCACAGACTTCGCAGGGGTTCCTGTAAATGCTGTTGTAGTGCCAGAGGATCAGTACTCGCTGAAGACACAGTTCTTGGTGCTGGTGGCGACCCACTTCCTGTTTGTGGTTCTGTGGTGTTGTGGAGCCATGGCAATGTGGCTGACAGGGCACATCAGCTTGTTGTTCAGCTGTCTCTATGGGATGGCTGCCACAGTTCTCGGGGTGTTCCTGGTGGTTCACCACTGCTTCAGACGTCGGGATGTGCAGGCCTCATGGCTGGCATGTTGCCCAGGTAACCGACACTCCAACCCTGTTTCTACCTACGCGCACACCTGTACCACAGGGAGTGGGGTGCAGACCTCCGAGCAGGAATCACAACATTTCATCAGCTGCCATCCACCTGGTGACTCTCATAACTCCTCTTCAGCTCGATCATCATCCACACCGAGTGGAATCAGCAGCGTGGGCCCCGGGCCCTGCAAGCTCACCAACCTGTTACAGGTGGCACAAGACAATCCCAACAATTCCACACGTGCCCCTGCAGGCAACAACCACAGCATCAGCACTGACAACACCACCAAGCCAACAAACAATGTCCTGCCCATCATTAACTCTTCAGCGCCAGTGCATCCCCAGAGAAGGAAAGTGAGCAGCAGAACTAAACAAGGAAGCAGTCAATATCACCATCGAGGTGAGGGCAGGGGTCACTATCGTCTCAAAGCTCTAAGGACTGCGGGAGGCGGGGGCAGCCTGGGAGCTTTAGAGCCCAACGGTTTAGATCACCTCAGTTCTTCACACGTGGTTCACAAACAGGCCACGAGTGAGAATGGCAGCATCCACCTCAGCATGTCAGAGAACCAGGCGAGCCCGCTTACCAATGGGAAGCGTGTGGGAGAGTCTTTAGCGACCAGCCCCTCAGAAGGAAGCGACGGGGGCAGCAGCGGGAGTCGCAAACCCTTCCCCCTGCTGCCGTCTGTGGCGAGCAGGGCGGCCATGCACAGCGCTCAGAGACGATGCGCCAGCAGAGACAATTTGAAACTTGCTGCCGCTGTGGAGCGAGACACTAAGCGCTGCTCCTATCCTTTGAACAGTGTCACCACCACCGTGCCTGGTGCCGCCGCCCCAAACGGCACCCTCAAAAACGTAGTGCTGGAGCTAGAGCACGACATGAGTGGCACGGACCAATCTCAGAGCTCCGTCGGAATGAAGAGTGGTTTGTGGAAAAGTGAAACCACAGTGTAACCTATACTTACATGTGAACTTCTATGCATGACCTTAATGGACTCTCAAATGATTGGGTTATGTTTTAATGGTCTCTTGATTATAATAATTATATAATTTAAGGTATAAAATCATGAAGGCATCCAGGACCCTAAACTGGTAGTACTTTTGCCTCAGTAGCATTCTCAGAGTTCACTGTGAAATGGTAAAAAAATAATAAGGCAGGTTTTTTTATTATCAGTTTCAACTCATTTATTTTATTCATTTCACAAAAAAAAGTACAAGATATATCTGAAATGGGCATATAATGTTGATTTTGGATGTCGAATGAAAGCTTTAGTGTTTTGTAATTGTGATTTTTTTCCTATGCATATCAACTATAGCATGAAATGGAAAGCAAGGCAGTCCATTTCCAAAGTTCAGCTTTATGCATTTAATATTTGGACAACCCTTCACCCTTATGTTTGCTTCAAGTATTTTATTGCTTGTGATCGTATGTATGTGTATGTGTATGTGTGTGTGTGTGTGTGTGTGTGTGTGTGTGTGCGGGTCTGTGTGTGTGTGTGTGTGTCTGTCTGTGTGTGTGTATGTGTGTGCGGGTCTGTGTGTGTGTGTGTGTGTGTGTGTGTGTCTGTGTGTGTGTGTGTGTGTGTGTGGGTCTGTGTGTGTATTCATACAGAATAAGCGTAATTCCATGAACGTGGCTGTACAGAATCTTTGAGTGAATTAAAGAAGCTATGCGAGACTTTTGAACATATGATAAAAGTGTTTTATTTCTATGTTTCTGTCAGATCTTACACAACTCTTCCCTTGTTTAGTATTCAGAATTCAGAAAGAAATACAAACTAGAGAGAAACAATTGACTCACACACTCCACTAGTCATTTAAATGTATGAATGACTGCCCCCTATTGGGTGGCAGAGAAACTTTGAGTGTTCTTGAGGGATCTAAAATGTATTGTCCTTGCAGATCAGGCAATTCTTGCAGGTTCTGCAATGATAAATGTATCCAAGACATGATAACATATCAGTTATCCTACACAATGATTGTAATGAGGTTAGTTTTGAAACGTTTGTTAAAGGGGTTTCTACAAAAATATGTTTCAGGTATATAGAGCATGACTATCAGAATACCTTTATTTGTCCCACAGAGGGGACATTTACATTTGTTACAGCAGAAAAGAGCCAAAGACAGCTTAATGTTAACTAAGAAGCATGCATACAAAATATTAAGATACAACAAATAAAAAAAATGTAAACATCACTGCAAGCAGATCTTTTTTCATTCAATGATAATGTTGCCTTCACATTTCAGTAGACCTAGAAAAGCCTTAGCCATACTTCTGCATTTGAGTCAATTTGAGTCACTTGTAATTCAGGAAATTACACTGACAGGAAATAGTGTTTCCTTATGCCGCTCATTGTCAATGCTTTCCCCATTGTTCTTCTGGAGGAATTCTCAACGAAACCCAGATGATCATATATGTTTTTAATACAGTCTGTTTGTTGTGCTTATATCCTGCTTGCAGTTTCAACTTTGTGATCAGCACCTAGCAGGATGTATTCAGGATGTAATATATATCATGGAAAACCAATGTAAACATTAACACTGTCTTGCTCATGATTCAATAAGAATTTCAGTGCCATCGAGGTCGTCAGGTAAGTCATGCATCTGGTGTCAATAGTGTTGTAGGGTGTGTGCAAACTAAATGTTTATTTAAACATCATAAGACGTCAAATAAGTGGGCCGGTCGGATAAGTCACTAGCAGCCTCCCCCCCACGTTCAACGGGGGGTTGACAATTTACTAGTGGTACCAACATTCTAAAAGGTCCCATCCATATTTTCTCAAGGAATCATTGAGGCTGTGGAGTATTTTCTCTATGTTGTATGTCACAAAATACTACAAAAACCCATGAAAATGAAATAAAGTATTTTGTTCTTAACTTCACGCCCCAGTTTTAAAGGAATATTACCCGAAAACGACTAGCGAGGATGTGATGAAAAGGCCTAGAGGTTCACATCTAGGCCATGTGAAATAATATTATCAGTACTTTTAACAGTTCTTTTGAAATACAATATAAATCTTTATGAGAAAAAACATTATTTGCCTATTATAATTTAATTTCCTGCTTTGACAGTCTATATATTACTTAAACAAAGGGAGAATTTTAAAATAAATAATTTTACTTTCAAGAAACATCAGACCCAATCCCTGAAACGTTTTTAAAATTATTTTCCTGGACATTTATACCTAAACTAAATAAGACAGCTCTACTGAAGTCAGATCAGTTCTATTTGTAGTCCTATTAAATTATGATATGGCTTTAGCGAAGGTAAACTGATTCCTGATCAGTGGCTGACTCATACTAACGGTACGTGACGTCATCACACCCTCTGCGTGCTGTCCAATCACTGCCCGACTTAAACAAAATTGATAGAAAAACTAACCAATTAGGAGGCAGCATGAAGAGTAAGGGCGGAATCTAATAACATCAGGGAAGTGTTTTATGTAGCTGAGGCAAAACAAGGGAATTGTTTTTGATGAAAAGCTCATAAAGGAATTAGCCGCACCGCAGTAATGTCCTTCCTGGGGTATTAGTACCAATGTTAAGTTGGTTAACCGAGTGTTAACTTTAACTCAAGTGTTATTCGAGACTTTATCGCTACGAAGAGGAGGGCGAATAATTACGACATCAACCTGAGCTTCCTGAAGTTAAGCTAGGTAACCTAAACCAACAGAAGGAGAAACACGGAGTTCAGGGAAAGGTTAACGAACAGTTTGGCGTGGTAATATATCTAATAACTCGGATTAACGAGACTTCCGCGATGTCTCTGGCCGACCAGAGCCAGACTTGGTTCCCTACGAGTGTGCAGGTAACGGTGCACCAGGCTCGGAACCTGCGTCCAAAGGGCAAGAATGGCACCAACGACGCCTATGCCATCATGCAGGTGGCCAAAGACAAGTTTTCTACATCGGTGTCGGAGAAATGCATCGCCCCGGTGTGGAAAGAAGAGGCTTCCTTCGACCTGCCACTCTTCCACCCGGGAAACGCTGACCGGTGCACCCTGCATATCATCGTGATGCACCGGGCCCAGGTGGGGCTCGACAAGTTCCTGGGTCAGGCTGTGGTCAACCTGCTGGACCTCCATGACAACAAGTCCAGCAAAAAGACAGAGTAAGTGACTACCGAGAGGCTGGGAGGTCCTTTTGGTGCTTCCCCTGGGTGTGTTGTTGGTTGTAGTTATGAGTTCCTCTTATTTCTCTTCTCTAAATCCTCGTTAGAACTGTATTCGAGTTTATTAAAAGTGCTTCATCAGATTGCAAACTGTAGGCTACAGAATGATAATAATTCACACACACTCAGTCTAATGCAATGTATATGACTTTAAGCTACATTATCAAACTATAAATCAACTGAAAAGCATTGTTAAACTCCAATCCTAGATTAATTAGATTGGTAAACAACAAGTTATGTGCATATCCTACCATAACCCAGAGTTTTATTAATACTTTATTTAATTTATTGTACTGTAACCTTAGTTTGACCACCCTCTAAATCCAGTTTAAAACTTCTTTCCAGTTTATTAAAAGTGCTTCATCAGGCCCAGAAAGTTTCAAACTGCAAGCACTTCTTTCAAACTTAAAGTTAACCTAATTTAAAGACTATTAACATTGTTTTTTGTGGCTAACACCTGCCTGGTCATGATTTTGTATTAACATTGTAATCCAAAATGTGATAAATATCACAACTCCTTAACTACAAACAGTGGCCAAATGTTGGTATTTATTACGCTACCCGAGATATGTAATCCATCTTTGACTTCACATCATCGAAAACAGAGTCAGATTTTTGTAAGTAAACTGCCTCTTTATTAATGAATTGATAATTAGTCAAATCATGTAAGAGGATTCCTTAATTTGCGAGTATGCATAAACTGTCAAACCTAACCAATCCTGAGTTTAAATTAGCTGTGAAGTTTCGTCATGTCTAGTTTCAGAGACAAGTAGAGACCATCAGGAATATATTCTGTTATCAGGTCGAAAACTGAAACGACACACCAGCTATTCACCTTTGAACGTAAACAATGTAATATAATACCTCTCTCTCCCTCCTCTTATCAGTGTCTGAGAGGACAAACAGAAAACTATGAAGATGGCAGGATAACAGTCCAAAGATATCTTATCTCAGTTTTGTCCTCTGTCTTCTTTCTCTCTAACATTAGTCTGAGACCTTTCCTTCATACATTGGTGTGAATTCAACTCTAGCAGCTTACTGGCGTCTCACATTGCTTCTGTTAATATAGCACATTCTTCAGGGCCATTAACTAGTTAACAAATACGTCTGCTCACACCCCGATGCGTTGCGTGACTCAGCATGTGTTTGACGTAGCATGGGTGTAACTTGAGTGGAAATAAAACATTGAGTTAAATGGGATATCCACACCCTGATTCATGATGAATTTAAAAAATACAGTGCGTTCAGTATAAACACTGACTTCCAAATGTGGCTTGTAATTTTGAAGTGACCTGAGGGAGATTGAGGGTGTTAGTTTTCCAGTATCACTCAACTAAGTGCAGCTTTGATACAGCGCTACTATGACCTCACTCACTGGGTTATTGCACCTGAGTGTTATCTTGTGCACAGTACGTTTTTCCATTTGAATGGCAAAGTTCACTCCTTCTCAGGTCTGATCTCCTTCCCTCTCCCTGCTGCTCTCGCTCCCTCTGTCTCCTTTCAGACCCGTTATGCAGGGTATTGGATGTTGCTGTTTGTGCCTCGAAGCGTGCGGTGTTAGATTACTGTCCTGCTGATCCAGGGAGTGACATTGAGGACTTTGTTTGCCTCTGAAAGGAAGCTCTGACGCTGTTGTTACACAATATCGTGTTTTCAAAGATTTATTTCGGCGATAGGATTGTATATTATGCTTTTGTATGAATGGAAGTCATTGAATGTCATAAATTATAAGAGAAATAACACGATTTAGGGATGTAACGATACCAAAAACTCACGGTACGATAATATCGCGATAACAAGTCCACCGTACGGTATTTATCGCGATATTGAATAATAAAGAGGAAAAATAATTCCTTTTTTTTTTTTTAATAAAGGTTTTTTTTTACTCGGAAAATGTTTCTTTATTACATAATAAATCTGATTCGTACAGCATTTTAGTAGGATAGCAGTATTTTAGTAGGATAGCAGCATTTTAGTAGGATAGCAGTATTTTAGTAGGATAGCAGCATTTTAGTAGGATAGCAGCATTTTAAAGGGTCAAAAACAAAGTGACAGTAACAGACTGGAACAAGAAAACCAGTGTTTTTGTACCTATAGTACTACCAAACAAAGTAGGCCTTTTCTTTGTGACACTGCATCTCACAAATAAACATTTAATAATCAGACCCTGCAATAAAATAAATCAAGTTTCACTTTAGTTTTTCAAGTAACTCAACTCAAACTCACTAAGTCACTCACTCAGACAGGTTTTTAGGAATATGAGAATGTCCACATTTCCAGGTATTTATAAGCTGGGATGTTTGGGCATTTACAATATCCCCTGGTTCACGAGCGTGCTCTCTTGTGAACAGTTCAGACCCGACGGGTAATAAGGGATTATGACGGACATTTTACGATCCTGTCTGTCAAAATGACGGACAGCGAAAAAGTCTAACGCCACCTCAGTGGGACGGAGAGATATGCTTTGGCCATGGGTGACAGCAGTGGGTCAAACTGTGCATTGTCTCTCCACCACTTCAAAAACAATACAGTTGTTGCCAAGAAGGTGAGGCTTATTGACAGAGATATAAATATACTGTTGGTACTTGTCAATGTCTCTAGGTGTGTAAATGTAGCCCTGTAAATACGATGTCCTTTTGTGTTCTGTTGTTTTATGTTCATGTTGTAACCTACTTGCTGCCATGTTGGACAGGTCTCTCTTGAAAAAGAGATCGATGATCTCAATGGGACCATCTGGTTAAATAAAGGTTTAAAAAAAAAAAAAAAAAGTGTTTTAAAAAAAAAAAATGGTCAGTCTCACGACGGTATTGGGACGTTTATTTACTGCGATATTCGGTATATCGTTACATCCCTAAACACGATAACTATAAAATTAAAGGTTAAGATTCTGATGGTGTTTTATTTTAGGTGAAGGAGTTTACAGGTTTGATATTAAGGATTTTCTTTAGATTATTTCCTTAAATAATAATAATTAGTGTTGTCACGATACCAACATTTTGGTTTCGATACCAAGTCAAGAATTGCGATTTCGATACTTTTCTTTAAAAAAGGGAAACAGTCTTAAATGTAATTATTGTGCTTTAGTTCACACCAGAACCATAACACACACTTTGAAACAATGAGAACAATAAATAAAATAAATGACTAGAATTTTTCGCTTCTGGCGTCTTTGTTGTCAACAAGCCGAGGCGCAGTTGCACTCCCACTTGCAGCCTTGCTTCTCGCTTTCTCACATGCTCTGGCAGCTAGAGCGTGCTTGAGAGGGGAGGGACTTAGAGCATGCTTGAGAGGGGAGGGACTTAGAGCATGCTTGAGAGGGGCGGGACTGCAGGCACGGCTGCAGTGCAGGGAGTGGAAGCAGAGCGCTGAACACACACGGCTCTTATTAAAAGTACTTTTCCCCGTCATTCTTAAAGTACCGATACTAATGAAACGGAGGCATCGTAATGTTTTTAACGGCAGGGTATCGCGGTACCTTTCAAGTATCGGTACACCGTGCAACACTACATGACACTGACTTGACTTTGACTTAAACAATTATTCTCATGTACACAACTAATGATTAATTGTATTATTGATCAATCAAGCTTACTTCTAAAATCATTCTGTGTTTTGTTGGTTTATAAAATGTCAGAAAAAGCTGCATCATCTCAAAATGTACTGCCTGATAAATAAATCCGGGTTTTTGGATAGTCCATTCAGTGTTTCCCACAGAAAGGCCCCTTAACCTATTCGGGTGTCCCACGCATCCCCCCCCCCTCAAATAACAAAATGCATGCGAGTTCATGGCTACCATAGCAGACAACGTTCTTGTTGCGTTGTTAATGAGTGAGACACACGTTCAGGATCTGTGGGGTTTATTCTCCCAAAAATATAATTTACAAAAAAAAAATGTTTTTATGAGATCTATTTGTGGCGGACGATATTTAATTACGGTGGCCCGCCACAAATGAATCGATGTATGGTAAACATGATCAAAATAGATTCAAATAAAATGTATGACAATAAATGCATTGTTTCGGGTCCAAATACTGAGTCACGTTATGAGACGATCATTGCAGAAAAGTCGGGACAACCTTTTGTTCAGACACCTGAGCCACTATATTTATTTTGTAAACAAAGAGCAGAGCAGTGGAACTAAATCAACATCTCCCATCTTGACATATATATATATTTGTATTGTTTTCACCCACTCATGAGAATAACCTTAAAAGAAATGATGCAATATGTGATCTCATCAACTTTCCTGCAGTGGTTTATGATAATCCTTGAAATGAGATGTTACTCCCTTTCCTGCTGATCCGTTAACACATTTAACTGCACTTCAAAGGTTTGTGGTGTCAGTGAGTGTTAAACTAATATTATGGAGAGGAATCACCTTAAGTTTGTTTGCTGAATGCATTCTGTAGTCCTCTCGTGGTATAAACACAGTCTCTCCTGTTAATCATCAGACATGGAAAGAGAAGTGCCCTTCAGTTAACCGAGGGAACCTGTCCAGCAGGACCGGTTAGGTTAGGCACAACACTTTATTTCTGTGTAATCAAAACATGTACACCCTGTTAATAACCGTAAAAGTTATGCATTGTCTCTGCTCCGGTGCATTCCCTGCTGTAACCGACGCAGACTAGAACAACCGGCCGTCTTTTATCTGTCCTGAGAAAGGGCTCTGTCTCGGGGCCTTAGTAAGTTAGCCATTATTTAACTTGGCATGCTTGCTTTAGTGTGGGAGATGAGAGATGTCTGTGGCTCAGTTTGACTTTCATTACATCACGTACTGCACGGCACCTTCATGCGTTTGGAAGTGTTTGAGGAATGTTTGTTCCCTCCCATGCTTGTTTCCTGACTGTTAAACTTCAAAGAGCCTGTCTGGATATCTGCTACTCTCCATGACACTAAAATGACGTTCTGCAGCAGTAACCTCCATATGAACTGAAGATAAC